CCCGCGAGCGGCCCCTCCCCCCGGGGGCCCGGCTGAGCCGGGGGCCGGAGGCAGCGGCTTCGGCGCCTCCGGAATCGGCCGAAGCGAGGGTCTCCTCGGCGGCCTGGCGAGGGTGGCCCCTCGGCGTTCGGGTGTTTCCGTCGCTCCTCGCGATCCTCCGCCCCGAGTCCTGTCTTTGAAGGATTCGGCTTCCGCCAATTCAAACTGTCCCGAGCGCTGGCTCCTCGCTCTTCTCCCGCAGCCCTTTGCAGACACCAGGCCGTTTGCGACAATTCTAGCCGTGGCCCAGAAGGCGCCTGGCACTCGCCCTCGAGCCCTTCCAGAAATTTCAAGCTCAGTCCCAAGCTTCGGCTCTTTCCGGAGATCGCACTGGCTCACTCAGCCCCTCTCGGAGAACTTCGGCTCTTTCCGCCGTCGCTTCGGGAGAGCCTCGCTCGCGGGGAGACGCTTCGGCTTTTTCCGTCGGCTCTTCGGCTCCTTCCGTCTTCGGAAACCGAAAAGGGTGGGAAGAAGGGAGCGAGGCGGATCAGGGGAAGGAATACGTAAGGGATGGGATGAGTCCTGACTGCCAGCACCTGGCTTTGTGGATGAGGAGGGAGAAGAAGAGGCGACCTCGCGGAAAGCTTAAGAAGGCTACGCCACACAAGAACAGGATGAAGGGTGCGCGCGGCCGCTGCGGAGGTTGCCACCGCGGCTTAGTGCGCCTGCGCAACACCAAAAAAAAAAGTGCGCGAGAAGGCCTGCGCCTGCGCACTAATCATTCGGAGGCGCTGTTTCGCGCTTCCCCGCCAGAGAGCGCACCTTCCATACTCTCCCACGCGCATGCGCGACACTTTCCCCTCGCACCTTTCGCTTTTTTTTTTTGTTTGTTTAATGGCTTCGGGAAGACATTTAATCCTGGACCGTTAGGCAAACCCGCTGTCTATGGTTGCCCCAGCAACCTCGGCGGCGCGCTTGCTCGCGATCCCACAGCGCAGGCCCGCGAGGCGATGCAGGACGCACTTCCGGGAGCTGGCGGGCTGGCACCCGCGCCCCCTGGCGGGCTGGCGGAAGCATCCTCATGTACCTGTCCCTCCAGGTAGCCTCTAAGGCTGGATGGAGGTCATGAGGTTCCGCCTTCGCCACCCACCCTCCTCCTCAACAGCCCAGCAGGGAGTGTGCACCCCCTTGAGCTCTACCCCTTCTGAACCTAGGAACACAGCTGCCTCTCCCCCCTCCCACCTCTGCCTGCAGGGCGCTAATTACACCCTGTCTTCCCCATTTCCCGCCTGACCGCCTGCTCCCCGAACCCCCAGAAACGCCCGTCACCATCTCCGTGGAAACAGCCACCTCCTCCCGACCACGTCGCCCTCCAAGCAAGAGGCTGGGGACTGGTGGTGTATTCCAAATTGTTTCATCTCTTTTTAATTTAAATTCTCTGCATAATTCTCTGTCACACGTGGGATGGATGGGGGGGTGGGAGCCCCCAGTGCTCGTTGGCCCAGGCCCGGCTCCCCGGAGCTGAAGGTGGACACGGTCAGTGTGGTCCCTTCTGCCCAGCGAGGCCAGGCTGGGACAGGTGCAGCTCCGGTGGGAAAGGGTTTTCTTGGACGACGATGGTTAAGCAAAGAGCAGAAGTGGGACCAGGAGCCCTAAATCTTGAGAGCTCGGGGCCAAGGGAGCCACCCCACCCCACAACCCTGGAGGAAAATGGGGCAGAGGAGGATGCTGGGGGGGGGGCGGGGGGGCAGGTCTATATACAAGTGGATGGGAGGGGTCTGCAGGGGAGAGGCAACCGTGGTCCCATCCAGGCCCTATGATACGTGCTCGGGAATAGGGTCCCCCTTGTAGAACACACGCCAGGGGCCCCAAGACGGCCGTCCTCAAGCATATGCAGCCCAGAGGGTAGGGGTAGGGCCGCTGGTCAAGGACAGGCCCACCTCTCCACCCCCAGGTGCCAGGAGGGTCCCATCATGCACACGCCCCCAGGCTGGGGAGGGTCTTCCAGGGGAGCAGGCGGGGCCCTCATGCACGCTGTGGGCGGGGCCTGGTGGGCTGTGGGCCTGGGCGGGCGGAGGGGGCTGGCCGTGGGGGCGTGTCCGGCGGCCATCACCGCTTGAAGCGGTAGGTGATAGGCAGCAGCAGCTTGCTCTTCTTAAGCGCCTGCACCTTCTTGAGGGTCTCCTCGTCCAGGGCCAGGAAGCAGCGGCGCGAGTACTCCAGCAGGCGCTCCTTGGAGGGGTCGAACTCGCCCACCTCGGCCAGCTTCTCCGGGGCCACGATCAGCAGCTCTGCGATGGGCGTGGTCAGAGCCACCGTGTTGCGGTCCACGCGGTGGTGCTCGAAGGCCCGCGACATGCTCTTCAACTTCTGGAAGGTGCCCAGGATCTTCTTGTAGCGGCAGAGGACCCCGTCTGCGTCCTTCACTGCAGGGCGGAGAGAGGGGCAGACGGACGGATGGACGCGAGAGAGGACAGAGAGATGGACAGGCAGACACAGATGGAAGGACGTGAGAGAGGACAGAGAGGCAGGCAGATGGACAGATGCAGGAGAGCATAGAGAGACAGACAGATGGACAGACAGATGTGGAAGAGGACAGAGAGATGGACAGGCAGACATAGATGGAAGGACGTGAGAGAGGCAGGCAGATGGACAGACAGATGTGGAGACGGACGGACGCAGTAGAAAACAGACAGGCAGGTGGGGACAGATGTGGGAGAATAGACAGAACATACAGATGTGAAGTGGACAGACAAGTGAAGGAGCAGAGATTCAGACAAGAAGGACAGACAGGTCAGTTTTAGACAGAACCCCGTACATGAGTCCACAGACAAGATGGAAAGAGAGGTGGGGGAAAGCAGCGAGAAAGGCAGACAGACAGACATGCATGGTCAAAGACAGAGGGGACAGGAGGGCCGGGGAGGAGTGTTCAGATGAGTTGGGGGACAGCCAATGACAGGGAAGAGAAATTTGGGTGGACAGACACATGGAATCAGAGACGGGGGTGGGGGACACACACATTCACGGGGGAGCAGGCAGACAGATGGAAGAATGGACAGACAGGTGGGAGGACAGTAGTGGGGAGAGGAACATGGGGGTAGATACACACAGATGTGGGGTCAGTCAGTCATGGGGGATGGGAAGGGAGGGATACAGGCATGTGTGGTCAGAGAGGGATACAGACAGACAGATGTGAGTGATGGGCAGACAGGTGGGGGGCAGAGACGGAGCAAGGGGCACAAAGAAGAGAGGAAATGGGGATCAGGTTAGGACCCCCAATCCAGAAGACATGTGAACAGAACGGGAAACAGGAGCAAAGGGGGAGAGGAGGCAGAAGGGGGGACAGTGTCCAGATGGATTTGGCTCTGGGGCAGGACTGGGCCCAGCATTCCCGAGAGTTCAGGGGCCCTCCCAGGGCGCTCTGAGCATCGCCCTTCACCCAGGAGGAAAGCGAGGCTGAGCTGGGGAAGCAGAGTGGACCCCAAGGTCACCCTCGGTGCCCAGAGGCAAAGGCCGTACACAGGGACCACCACAGCAAGGCTGGGGGATGATGGACTGGGGCGGGGAAACCGAGGGCTGGGTGAGCAGAAGGGTCAGTGCTGCAGGGACCACACGGCCCGTCTCTGCCCGCCTGGCCCACCCCAGATCCTCCAGGCACAGAAACGTGGGCATCGATACACACCCCAGGATATTCACAGCCACGCACACGCATGGCCACACACCATACACACATCCTCAATGCAAAACACATCCGCTCAAAATAAAAACACTTCTGCTCACGCCTACACAAGTGCAAGCATTCCCTTGCACGTACATTCCTCTCGTGCATAAATGCTCACACTCATTCACACACACACATACGTGTAAAGACCCACAGAGATACTGCCGTGTGTGCCTGCATGCGCGTGTGTGCGTGGGCGTTCACTCCAGACAGACACATACTTACGCTGCTTGCGGGGTTCCGTCATGTGTGACCCGGGGCGACCCACTGAACGACCCGTCCTGTCCTGTCCCGTCCTGTTCACCCCGACACCCTTGAGCCCACTGCCGCAGTCACCCTGTCAATCGACGTGGGTGAAGGTCCTCCTCTCTTTGACAGATGTCCCTCTCCAAGGGGGTACGGATATACACACGGATGTTTCTACACACAGGCGTGTCCACGTGTCCACTCACAGGTACTCGTGCGTACTCTACACTATACATCCACATGGGCTCAAACACGCATAATCACCTGCACCTATCGACACACTGCACACCTCAAGGCCCACACACTCACGTGTACACGCCTTCTCGCACACAACCACAGACACGCATGTGCACACATGCATGTCCACTCACTGTCACACACATGGGCACACACTACCACAGAGTCATATATACACACACACACGTGTGTGCCACACAGATCCATGCACACACAGAGTCACACATACACACAAAACCTGTTGCATACATGTTAACTCTCACACACACACTCGCACCCCGGGCCCCCACTCACCCCGCTGCCTCTCCCGAGCCTTGGGCTTCCCAAAGCGTCTCCGGCCGGTGCCCCCCTTCTGCTTCTGCCTCTTCCTCTCACTGGAGCTGCCTTCTTCAGACCCCCCGCTGAGCGAGGAGGCCGCTGACTCGGGGTCTGAGGCCTCACCCCCGGCCCCGCCCCGGCCGTCCACTTCGACCCTCCGGGGCGCAGCCTTCAGCCTGCAGTGGTCCTCTGGGACAGGAAGGAGAGATAGAGCTGAGAAGTTGTACAAGGTGTCCTCTCAGCTCTCGGGCAGGGTGGGTCACCCCAGAGGCCAGGGGTCCAAGAGGAGGAGAGGCTGGGCTAAACTGAGTTCCCCAGTGAGGGCCAGGACTCCCCAGAGACAGATGGTCAGGGGTGCAGCTCTGACCCCATGTAAGCAAGGATTTATGGGCTGCAGGCACAGATGGGGCAGTTCCCAGGGACCCCAGGCTCAGAAGGCCCCAGTGGAGACAATAAGGGGTCTCAGAAGGGATACCCCCCAAGTCCAGGAAGAGGGCTAAACAGCAGAGAGGGGGCCTCGGGATAGTCTATAACAACATGCCAGCCCACCAGCAAAAGAGAGGTGGGTTCTCCAGAGGAAGGATTCTAGAATTGGAGGAGGAAGGTCTAAAATTAGAGGGGGAGGGTTAGAACTGGAAGGGAAGGGTCTAGAATTGGAGGGGGAAGGTCTAGAATTGGAGGGAGGAGGTCTAGAATTCGAGGGGGAGGGTTAGAACTGGAAAGGAAAGGTCTAGAATTGGAGGGGGAAGGTCTAGAATTGGAGGGAGGAGGTCTAGAATTCGAGGGGGAGGGTTAGAACTGGAAAGGAAGGGTCTAGAATTGGAGGGGGAAGGTCTAGAATTGGAGGGAGGAGGTCTAGAATTCGAGGGGGAGGGTTAGAATTGGAAAGGAAAGGTCTAGAATTGGAGGGGGAAGGTCTAGCATTGGAAGGGGAGGCCTGGAATTGGAGAGGGGAGGTCTAGAATTGGAAGGTTGGGGACCAGAACTGGAGGGAGGTCTGGCGGTCGGGAGCAGGGGCAGCTGGAGGCAGAGAGGTCCAGTGCTGAGACAGATGCCAGCACCCTCTCTTGTGGCCAGCTGGGCATGGCCACCTTGTCCACCAGGTCCTTCACAGAGACCTTATGGGGGTGCAGGACTGGGCAGGGAGTGCAATGCTGGGGTCTCTGACACCGGCCATCAGGAAAGAAGATCACTCAGCCAGAAGGGGATCTCCAGAGTCCTGCGGGTCTCTGTGGCCGTGGGTCAACAATTGCTGTATCCACTCCCCTAAAGAGGGGTGGGGATACAGGGCAGAATGGCCAAGAGCTGCAGTACCTACGGCCCCCACTAGAGGCGGTGGAGGACAGGGCTGGACCAGCAGCTGCAATACCCACGCCCCTCACTAGAGGCGGTGCAGGTCCCTGTCAACAGGGGCCACCAGCTTCAGGACCAGGATCCCCAACCCCTAAGAGGCCATGCAGGGCAGCGGATGGGTCAATGGCTTCACTGCGAGCGCCACTAGCCCCTAGAGGTGATGCAGGACACAGGGAAGGCAGGATTCCCTGACCCAGTGTGGCCCAGGCGCACCAAAACCAAACAGTACCAAAAAGCACAGCCCCGCTGTCAATTCCAATTCATAGCGTCCACCCTCCGATGGGTGTCAGAGACCACAAATCCCACGGCGGGAGACGGCCCATCTTTCTCCCGCAGAGCAGGCAGCAGCTGGTGGATTCAAACCACCAACCACCAGAATCATGCAGCCTTGGTTAGCGGTGCACCACGCCGTGGACGAGCCCCTTCAGGGAAGGGCTGGGGGGGTTAGCAGCACACCACACAGAGGGTTTTTAGAAGCAGCTTATCACACCCACCCTTTTCTAGCAGAGCCACTAGTCGATTTGAACTGCATGCTTTTGGAATTGGAGTGCAGCTTCTTACCACTATGCCACCGTTTTCACGTGAAAGCTCCCTGTCTATGAACATAGCACGCGTTTCCACTTACGCACGTCTCTACGTTTCTGGTAGTGTTTTACAATTTCCTTTGCGTAAGTCTTTAGTGTCTCTGGTTTGGAGCCCAAGTATTTCATCTTTTGGATGGTTATTGCAAACCACTTTTTTTTTACTTTCTTTTCTCTCTGTTACTATGGTACAGTAAGCTCTTCAATAGAGGAAAAAATCAAACCAAACCCACTACCATGGGGGCGATTCTGCCTCTGATGAAACAGTTTGTCAGGAGCAGTGCTGCTAGCCAAAGACCAAGTCTCTCTGGTGGTTCAAATCCTCCGGCAACTCTTTGGGAGAAAGACAGGCAATCAATCTCCTCTTGTGCGAGTCACAACCTCCAAATCTCAGTGAGAAGGTCTGCTGAGTCAGCAGCAGGAGGAGGTTTGAGCAGCTCTACAGGACAGCCTATTAACTGCCCCACAGGGTTTGGAAACACAGCCACCGAAAACGCTGTGCGGTAATCAAACGACAGCATTTGCCCGGGAGAAGACCTCAGAACCCAGGAAGGCACAGGAGCGATGGACCAGTGGAAAGGAGACACACAGGGGGGAAGTGGGGAGAGTGCTATTCTATTATGGGGATTACAAGCAATGTTCAAAACAAAACGTGCATGAATGATTGCACAGCAAGCCCATTTGCTCTGTAAACTTTCAAAGCACAATCTTAAAAGTTTACAACTGGCAGCATCAGGATGGATGGTGAAGAGATTGAGATTGTACACAGCTTTAGTTTGCTTGGCTCCACAGTCAACAGTCTTGGCACCAGCAGCCAGGAACTTAAAAGGCGCATTGCCATGGGAAAGTCTGCTGTTAGGGACCTCTCCAAAGTACTGAAGAGCAATGGTGTCTCTCTAGAGACTAAGGTGTGTCTGATACAGGCCATGGTCTTCACAATCACCTGTTATGCATCAGAGAGTTGGACAATGACCAAGGAGGATAGAAGGAGAATTGATGCCTTTGAGCTGTGGTGCTGGAGAAGAGTATTGAGAATACCATGGACTGCTAGGAAAACAAACAGATTTGTCCTGGAAAGGGTTAAACCAGGTGGCTCCTTGGAGGCAAGGATTCTGAGGCTCCATCTAATGTACTTTGGACATGTTGTGAGGAGAGACCGGTCCTTGGAGAAGGACATCATGCTTGGTAGGGTGGAGGGACAGCACAGGAGGGGAAGGCCCTCTATGAGGTGGATTGATTCAGTGACTGGGGTAATCGGGATGGGAGTGTCAGAGACAGTGCGATTGGCACAGGACAGAGCAGAGTTTAGGGCTGTTGTACATAGGGTCGCTATGAGTCGCAAGCGACTCGATGGCACATAACAACAACAATAAACATAAGAAAAATCAAGTGTGTGAGGAACTGACACAGTGACAGTTGCAATGGGCTCGAGTAAGCCAGAAACGGCACGAGACAGGACAGTGTTCGTATCTGTTCATAGGATCACCATGAGTCACACACGACGCACACATGACTCGACGGCACCTATCCACACAGTGCCATCCTACTCTTAACAGCACAGGAGCACACCGTGAACGGGAATGGATTCAGCGGCAGTCAGAGCTTTTGCGGGAAGACAGGTCCCTGAGGAGCCCAAGAAAAATGAGGTGGGGTGGGGCGGGCTCTGAAGAAAAGGAAGCTCCTCTCCTACCCCCACAGGATGGAGGTAAAGGGAGGTTGCCCCAAGAAGTGGAGCTCTGAGAACTGGCGCAGAAAGCACGCTGGGTCTCAGGGTCTCTAAGAGGACTTTGCAGGGCACCCGGAGCCTGTCAGGAAAAACAGAGGGGTATCTGTCATTAGCTTGGTCAAGTCAGCCCCAGTCGCGGGGACACCATGCTCAACAGAACCTGAACACTGGGCGATGGAGAATTTTCAGTGTGTGATTTGCTCCACTGATTTGCTTTCAGCCACACTGCCCACACAGCTCCACGGGCGGGTAACTGAACTCGAGAGGCACACGCGTTGAGGACCAAACCCCCTACGGGGAGGTGAAGTCCTGGACAAAGGCTGGTCCTCACTCTGCTCTCTTGAATGGTCACTGTCCGGACCAACGGGGGATCAGGTGACCCTCAGTGTGATTCAATGTCAAACTCGCCGCTTGCAAGCCAGAACTGACTCAGGACTTGCCCTACCCCGGATTTCAGCCTCCTAGCGGACCCTTGGGCAGGTTTTCAGAGGCTGTCAATCCCACGGGAGGAGAGCGTCCAGCTCCCTCCCGTGGACGGGCGGGTGGTTTCAAACCGCCGGCCTCTGAGTGCGCAGCACCATTCCTTTCCCACAAGGCCAAGAGAACTCCGTTCAGTTTGAGGAGACATGATAATTAATGAGCCAATTACATCAGCCAATGGCAATCAACGTTACAAAACAAAATGTTTTATAACGAGTTCATGTGAGAAACAGTACGATTTGTAAACCTTTGCTCAAATAAAAAGGAAAAACGATGCTTTTAAAAAGGTACCTTGGACAGCGGACAGATGAATGAGAATCAGCGGGATCAAGCTTCAGAGGGGGTGAAGGGCGGGGGTGGAGAGGCCTGCGCCCCAGGTTCAGGAGGAGGTGTCGGATGTTGGGGGTCCCTCGTGGGGCTCGCCCTCTCTCACCTGCGTCCATCCGTGCTGAGGAGATGAACTTGTCCAGCTGACACCGCAGGAAGTCCCTCTCCTCTTCCAGGTCCTCAATGCGCTTCTGCAGCCAGGAGTTCCTCTCCAGGGCCATGTGTAGCTGGGCCTTCACGCCGTTCATGAGCGCCAGGGCCGGAGCCGCGGACTCGGGGGGCTCTGCAGGAGTGGGTGCGGTCATTCTGGGGCTCCAGGGCCGCCGTGATCCTCCAGTGTCCAGCCCCCACACTCATGCCCCATCCCCAGCGCACCCTCGAAGTTCCCCCGAGAGGGGCTCAGGCTGTAGAAAATCTGGGGGTCCAGGTGGGGCGTCTGGTCAAAGGGAATGGAGATTTCGAAGGCTTCATCGTCTTTCTTCACTGTGGACAAGAGAGGGGTCACTCCCACACGAGGTCCCAGCCTCCACCCCGGAGGAGCCCCCAAGCGCAGCAGCCCCCCCAGGGAGGGGACAGGGCATGGGGACAGGGCGGGGAGAAGGTCCTCACTCGTCTTCCTCCGGCTGCTACGGTCACTCATGGCCCGGCTCCGCCAGCAGCTCAGTTGAGCGCCTCAGGGGTACTGGACAGAAACAGCAACAGAGGTGGGGGGCTGGATGGAGGCCTGGGGCCTCCTGATCGCTCAGAGATGAGACGAGACGGGGGTCCGAGTCTCAGGGAGCACAGGCAAGGGGTCAGGACTCCCCGAGTCTGAAGGAGGTGGTGCTAGGGGACTGGACACTGAGGCCCCAGCGTGGTGGGGGCCGGGGGCTGGACATCAAGGTAAGGGGGGCTGGGGGTGAAGTGGGCTGGGAGCAGTGAGGATGCAGAAGGTAGAGGAAAGAGGGGTCTTGGGGCCCTAAATTTCTGGGCTCTCCATCAAGTCGACAGGAAACTGGAAGATCCCTCATCTCGGGCACCTCGGTGAGAGGAGCGAGGGGGCAAGTGTACCCCAACTTGCAGGCTCAGAGTGGAGGTCTGGCCCTGTGTGCGCCCCCCCCCGTCCCACGCCCCCCGCGTGGACGCGCAGGGCCCCTCCCCCGCGGCGGCAAGGCCAGGCGCGTGCGCGCTGCGCGAGGCTGGCACGCGCGTGGGGATGCGCCCCCCGCCCCCGCCCTTTGTCCCGCGGGTGGGAGGGGAGCGTCGTGGACAGGGGTCCTCACGGGGGCGGGGCGCACAGACGCGGCCACCCTCCCCGCCCGCCGTGCCCGGGCCGGAGGGGCCGAGGGGGGACCCCCCGCGCTCACCCACCCGCGCGCGCGGATTCCGGCCGGGGGACCGAAGACGGTGGCGCCCATGCCCGGCGCTAGGGAGCGTCTGCAAAGTGTCACGGCAGGCGGGAAGCGCCCACCCAGCCGCCCGAGCGGGCAGGGCCGGGCGCCGGGGCAGCGGGTCTGGGCCTCCCTCGGCGGGCGCGGCGGGAAGAGCTGTGGCACCTCGCCCCGGTACGAACGGCCCGGCGCCGCCTTCTCCACCGGTCCCCGCTGGTGAAGCCCGCCGCCTGCGGCTCAAGCTGGGCCCGCACTTGCGCGACGGCCCCTTGTGGGTCTCCCGCGCGCCCGGTCCAGGGAGCGTCTCCAAATTCCTATCTCCCGAGGAGCGAACGCGACTTTGGAGGGGGGTCCCCACCCCCGGGTGGGCGGTGGAGACGCGGCGAGCTGGACTTTGGGGACAGCAGGCGAGCAGATGAGACAGCCAAGAAAGTTGGGGCAAAGGGGAGAACCTTGTTTTTCCTACTTCTTGGAACGGACCGGCAGACACCAATTTCCCACTCCCAACCCCCAACCCCCTGCTCCTTTAACTCCCACGAGCTGTCATTCCCAGGGATGAGGTGGGGGGGGTCAGGATGGAGCGGGGAACGTGGATGGGCCTCCCTGCCGGGAAAATAAGGGGCCGCAACACTCCTGTCCCGCTTGTTGGTGGCTGTTCACCGGCCCTGGGACTTTCAGGCCCATGTTTCAATCCTGCCTGTGACTTCATTTTTCTTCCCCAGCTTCCTTGAAGCCCACTGGCCTTGTGGTTCAGGGTGGTGGACCCTGCGGGGAGAGTGGAGGGGTCCCCGAGGAGAGGATGCACACTTTTACAAGGGCGGGACCACTCATCCTTATCCCTGGATAGGTTCCCACTTTCCCCGTGTGAAGCCCACTGCCTGACCCACCGCGCCACCGGGGGGGGGGGCATTTTCAACTTTTGGGGAGATTATCCTGCGGGAGAGGTTGTGGTCACGAGCACACATCAGATGCTCATCCGGGCACCTTGTCACAGCCAGGGCACCAGCGGGGCACCTGACCACTGGCGGAGCTCAAGTCAGGAGGGGTCAGCCCGCCGAGGGAGGCGAGGTGCAGGGAGATGAACACAGCCTCTGGGAGGCTCATGCCTTCTCCGGGATGTGGGGCGAGGGGTGTTCTTCCCCCACTCAAGGAGGTCTGAAGCAAAGACCTAGGCCTGGCACAGTGCCTGGCACAGAACGGATCACCTAACCCGCGGCCAGCGTGGATTTCACATCCCAGTGCTCCGGAGGCCAGGGCAGAACTGCCCTGTTTTCAGAGGCTGTAAATCTTAATGGGAGCAGAATGGCCTCTCTCCCGCTGACAGCACCTGGTGGGTCCAAACTCTCGATCTTTCTCGTTAGCAGCCCAAAACCCACAAGGCCAGCAGGCTTCCTTACAGAATAGACAGGGCAAGGCTCACTAATGAGGGAGGGAGCTCGTTAAGCTTCTGGTTATTCCTCAGGTGCTACTTGGTGGTGCTCTGGGCCCCCACCTCCAGGATCCACGTCCTGGAATGTTCTCAGTTCTTAATGGAAGCCTTTGTGGAAGAAACTCTAAATGCTGGCACCACCTAGAAGCTGTGTGTGCCCTCCCCGCCCTTCTCACTGTCCGGCTGGGCTGCGGCCAGATCAGAAAATCCCAGGGGCAACTTCTGCCCCAGATCAGTGGTTTTTCAAACTACAGCTCAAGGGGCGGAGAACGCCACGTAGCAGGAATCTATGATTCTTAAAACAGTCCAATAGAAAGGATCAGGCGTGCTTTGCACAAAGTAAACAGAACTTGTTAAAAACACATCTATTTGTGCGTTGGTATACCGCATTACAAGTCCCTGGGTGGGGCCAACCGTTGAGGGTTCAGCCGTTAACGCAGAGGTTGGAGGTTTGTGTCCACCCAGATCCCACCGTGGTCATCTGTGGCTGGAGAATCGGACACCGCTGGCCCTGGGGCGCAGTTCTGCCCTGAGCACGAGAGGGCCGCGGTGGGTTCGAATCAGCTTTGGTATACCGTCTTGCCACGCTGAGTGTTTTCTTCCCGTGGCTTTTGATTAACAACAGTTTGAAAACCACTGTGAATGAGAAAAGACAAGGTGCAGAGCTGTGACAGAAAACCAGGCCCAGAAGGCTGGCCTTCTCAATCCTCAGTCAGACACAGAGGCCGGAAGTGGGCGAGGGTCTTGCTGTGGTCTGGCTGGGGGGCAATAAAGGTGGTCCCAGCTGCCCCTGCCAACGACCAGCTGCGCCAGCGGGAACCTACGTTTATTGGGGGTCCAGCCTCACTCTGGCTGGGGTGGAAGACGGGTTGTCCGTCAAGATCAGGATGGAGGCCCCAGGAAGGTAAGGTGCACATTCCTAATAGTCCCAGCTGCCAGATAACCACAGCACACCCGTCTCCTCCTGCAGGTTCGCTCCAACAGGTGGGATATCTTATGGCCAGGAGTCTCCACTCTGTACCTCTGAGGTCCTGCCCCCATTGTACCCCCAGACTTGGAGGGCTGAGGAAGGCAGAAGGCGCCGGCCCCTCCTTCCACGGGTGTAGCCTTACAATCGAGGATGGGCATCTGGGCTGCGCTGCATCTCTGGGCTGCACCGGCACCGGGCTTCTGAGGCCGATGGGAGCCCTCGGATCCGGGCCTCCCCTGCGCCCCGCCGCCGGGCCTCACGAGTGCTTCCAGCGCGTGTGCTTCTGCAGCGTGTTCTGCTCCATGAAGCGACGCGGGCAGTGCGGGCACTGGAACGGGCGCTCGCCCGAGTGCACCCGGCTGTGCTGCGCCAGCTCGCCCGCCTCGCGGAAGCGGCGGGGGCAGACGGGGCAGCTGTAGGGCCGGCCGCCCCCCTCGCGGTGGATGGAGTGGTGGCGTGTCAGGTGGCTGGCGCGCTTGAAGGCCTTGCCGCAGGTGTCACACTCGAAGGGCTTCACCTCCGAGTGGGTGATGCTGTGGCGTTGGAGGTACGACATGTACTCGAAGACGCGCGAGCACACGGGGCAGCTGTAGCACTTTTTCTGGGCGCCCGCCCCCTCGGCGCCCGCCCCTCTCTGCGTCTCCTCGTCCACCAGCACGGTGTAAGGGACGCCCTGGGTGTCGATGAGCAAGTAGTGGTTGGAGCGCAGAGGGGAGGCGGTCTGGGGAGCGCCCGCGGAGGAGGACGGCCCTGGCTCTGGGGACCCGGCTGTCCGAGAGGCCGGGGCCTCCATGGCCTGGAGGGAGGAGAGCAACTGGGGCTGGGGACAGGGGGGTGGCAGCACCAGCATCCGGAGGGGTGGCTGAGGCCTGCTGTGGTGGAGAGAGGGGTTATACCCTGCCTGGAGCTGCGCCCCCTTTTCTCAACCGCCCTCCTGTAATCCTCCTGCTCACCCCTGAACTCTCTTAAAACTCCGAAAACATGGAGCTCTGGTGGCCTAATAGAAAGAAGCTGCGCTGCAATCCCAGAGGTACGTGGTTCGAATCCACCAGATGTTCTGCCGGAGAAGGAGGGGCAGTCATCTCCTGTAACCAGTCAGATCTGATTTAATGGTACACACAAAAAATAATAAAGTTTTTTTTAAAAAAAATAACAAATTCCGAAAACAATAAAAAGCAACCCCACTGCCCTCAAGGCGACTCTGTCTTATCGCGATCCAACTGGACAGGTTAGAATGAGGACTGCACAGGGCCTGCCAAAGCGGCTTCTGTTGTCAGGAGGTCGGTATGAGGCAGAAGTGAAAGCAGGGCCCCTTTACAGCAAGCGCCCCTCGCCCCAGGCCACCTTTAGGGAAGCGCGACGCAGGGCTGGGGGGTTCTGCGTGGGACTTTCTTGGGGGATCAGGGGTAGGGTGTGACTACCCTGCCATCCTACTCATGCGGAGTCAGTACCCCCTGAAAGCGGGCCCCCGCAGGTAAGGGCAGTGTCCCCCAGGGCGAGTAAAGCTGTGCGCCTTCCCAAGAGCACACCCCCTCATCAATGTGCTCCTGGTGGCTTCGAACCAGCGACCTTTTGGTTAGCAGGAGAAGGCTCAGCCATCCTGACCCATCTGGGGTCGCCGGATCTGTAAGCCCCACTCCCCAGTGTGCTCCCCCATCTCTGCACCCCTGACCCCCCCTTGGGGCGTTCTCAGGTGCCCCCCACTGCAGCGCACCTCTCAACTCCCCCTGTCCCCCCAGCAGGCGCCTTCCCAGCGCCCCTCCAGGCCTAAGCCTGCCCCATCCGCTGCAACGTCAGGCCCCCCGGCCCAGCCCTTCGCGTCCCCGCCCGCCCCGGGCCCACCCCTCGACCCCGCGGCCGCCCGCCACCCC